AACAAAACCATTATACCCTGATTTCCCATTTTCAATGGGTTCAGGGTATAAAAAAGAAAGGATTAAAAAAACATTCGGTCTGTTGTTCTTGAATTGGGTTTCAATTTTTGTTTTTTTTTTATTATTATTATTTTGTTAAAGGTATTCCACTTAAATCAACTTAACGCTTACAGGGAACAGTTGGGACTAGGAGTCGGGGTACACAGTGTGGGCGTGGTGGTTGTTTTTTATACTTAGCTATATAATATAATTTGTAAAGTTACATTCAGAATTTAAAAATTGTATACATTTAGATGTAGCATAAAGTTGCGTATCTCAATTACACACACATTTAAAAATTACATAAGTACATTTATAAGTATCGATACCCAATGCTAGGGTACATATATATATTAATATTGTTAAACTTGCGCTTAAAAATTCTAAATAATTTTTATACACACAGAAATTTTGGATTTTAATGTTAGTTTTAAGAATATATATATAATTTTTTTTATTATTATTATTATTTTTTTTTTTCTTTTTTTGGATTATGTATTTAGGTTAGAAATTATTCAAGAGATTATAACTGTACAATCAACTATCACAGTCAACCATATAGAACTGATAGAGAATATTCCAAATATTGTAGATATTAAGAGACAAAACAATAAAACTATAAACAGAATTGGAAAACAAAGTATAAATGGTAGCGAGACGAGTGCTCGCATAGCTAATACCCTGTACCATACAACGGGTACAGAGTATGGCACAACTTAAAAATACTCTATGCATTCTTAGATCTAGCTGCTATATATTTGTATATTTACAGTTCGCTGTTAACAAACAGATTCTCTATTAAGCGAAAAATGATCGATAACACGTTATCGATTGGGCTTACAATTAATATTTTGAGGCGTTAGTCGCTCGAGCAGAAAGACATTGAATGACTGATCCATTAAGACTTGCTTATCGCTTACTATTAACAAGTGGCAAAGGCTAACAACAATTCAAAATATTCCATATACACACACATATCTATATAGATGTATATGTGTGTATGTATATGTGTATATATGTATTTATATACATTCATATTTGTAGGTATGCTAGCTTATAATCGATTATTTATACTAGAACAATTCTGAAGATTTGCGAAATTGTTTTCGTATTGGAAAACTATTTTTGTTTGATTCTCATATGTATAATTGTTAGTTAAGAGTTAAACTTATGGAAAAACAACGTCTAACTAAAATAAACTAAATACATACACGCACACACGCACTCGTACACACACCCACTCACATACATATACATATATAATTATGTTTATGAACAACGCACAAAATATTAGACTCTATCGTAGCTGAATGATATTTACAGACACATGCGTCACACTGAGCTCAGATTCTAGCTGATCAAGAATATATGCATTCCATATAACTACCATTGCACATAAAATCTTAAAAAAGCCTTAAAATTCTCAAATGAGCTGAAAGATTTGCGCTACAGTTGCGAAAGAAATAAATTTTGTTTTTCTTTTTTCAAACTGTTTTATGAATTTATAAATATCGATTATTTCTGATCAAAAGGTATACAGATCTTGCCTGGAAATATTCGTAACTGTTAGACACGCTTTACGCTCTCTCCTCGCTTGATTTGGTATTGTAAAGACTTTCGTCAAGCCTCTCTAGAACTCCAATTGCAGTGGTTAACATAGCTAATACGTGGAGCTCTATACAAATCCCATCAGAAGCACTTCTGTAGCAAATCAAATACAATGAAACTTCTTCTGTGGTCGCTTACGATATTACTGTGCATATTGGAGATATTTAGCAATGTGCCCAAAAACGGCTGCTTGAAGCTTGGACGAGGCTGCAAAAAGCATTCCGCCTGCTGCACTGGCTACTGCCATTTGAAAGTTTTTTGTTACCACCGTGAACACCGCCGTGAACGCCTTTAAAAACACCGCAATAAATGTATACTAAACGGTTTTTATTAGATGTGCTGCAACGGCGAGTGGCGCGGGAAACGGATCCCTGGTGTGATAGATGGACCATTGTCTAGAGCATTCTATTGAAAAACAATAAAAATCTGGCTGATTGACTGACTGAAGCAGTCGACCTTAAGTTGCTTATATACCTGCTAAGGCAAACTGATCTTCATGGAATCATGGAATCTCTGGCGGCATGCCTGATCAGCCTATCTACTTCAAATGGTTCTTTCGCTAATGCCTAAGGGTAAAATCTGCTGCATTTACTAGAGTATTCTTTTTCCTTGCTATTTGATTTTGTTTTTGTTTGTGTTTGGTATTTTTGGTGGTTTTGGTTACACTTACAATAAAAACGTTGCCTGCTCGCCCTTGACGTCCACGTAGTCGTAGAGCGAACGCTCGGCATAGTTGCCGGCGTAGGCCAGGCTGCCGCTGCTGCCGTCCAGTGCTGAGTCGCCGGCGGGTGTGGCCGCTGGCGGTGGCGGGCCGGCGCCCAAGCTCAGCCCGAACTTTTCCAGGTGGCATCATTTGAGCAGCGTGGGCAGGCTGCTGTTCATCAGCCGATTGCCGACGACCAGCGAGTTGAGCGTCGAATTGCCACCGCCTACGCCCACGCCGACGCCGACGCCCACACCAACGCCCACGCCCACGCCCATGCTCATGCCGTGCACGCCCAGGCCGAAGCCCGGACTGCTGTGCGTCGGATTCTGAGCCTCCAGCACCGAGCTGCCGGCCGCGTTGCTCGAGAGATGCGAGTGGCCTGTGTTCAAGTTGTTGCTGCTGCTGCTGCTGACGTTGTTGTTGTTGTTGTTATTGTTGTTGCTATTGCTGTTGTTGTTGCTGCTGCTGCTTGTATTGTTGCTGGTGGTGTTGCTGGTGGTATTTGTTCCGGTGCTGCCAAAGCCGCTCATAATGCCCGCGCCGCCGGCGACGCCGACGCCAACGCTAACTGCGCTGCCGCTGCTAGCGCCGGCATTGCTCTCATATTATGATGGTCATGCATAGTGCGGATAGGAGCTCAGGTGCGGCGCCACATGCGACGGGGTCACATGGCCCATCGAGTGCGGCTGATACAAATTGGTGGCCGGACTGCCCCAATTGCCCCACGAGGCGGCCGTGGGAAAGATGGAAGCTGCAGCGATAGAGGAGCAAACAGAAACTAGTTAATATAACAACACCCAATCCCTGTGGCATCTGCTCACGCACCTGAGGACGAGGTCATGCCGTGATGCGGACTCATAAACGAGCTCAGCTTGGCGCTGTGATGATATGGCGTCATGAACAGATCGCTCTGATACTTGTAGGTGGGATCGCTGGCCGCCGGCTGTGTGGCAGCCGCCAGGCCCTGGAAGTCAAACTTGTACGCGTAGCGCTTGCCGTGCACCTTGGTCATTATATTCTTGTCGTAGTAGTATCTGCAGGAGAAGGGAATGATCAAATCACAATTAGCCAACAAATTTCTTCAGTGAAATAGCAAAAATCTGAATGGAACTTGGATTCAATTCTCACTCATGCCCAGAGCTCTTTAATGCTGCCTTGCCCTACTGCTGCCCTGTGGGAAAGCCAAACAAAGCACTGGCCACGTATAAATAATTACAAAATAATGCTCGCTTTATGCGTTTTAAGTTAATTTGCTGACATTAAGGCGATTTGGGTGCTAGAGACTTTTGCCAGTGACGCCCTCCTCGGCTCCAGCCCCAGCCTATAGCGGCCACCCTCAACAGACAGGCGAGCCCAACCACAGGTCGAGCTGCCCTCAATCTCGGGCCCGGCAATTAAATGGCAAACGCCTGGCGCACAAACTCAAACAGCGCAATGCTGTGGCTCGGGGCCAAGCCAAATTGCTTGGGCAGAAAGCCAAGCAGCCGGCAGGGAGTGGGACCGGTATTGCTCAGAGGCGGGGGAGTTGTCTTCGGGGGCAAACAAGACAGACGACGACAACAGACCGAAATGTTGTTTGCTTTGGCTGAGCGTGCCAGAAAAGTGATTAAGTTTAGAGCCAACTGCGAAAACTAAGCAACTATCAGACTGATCTCAAATGAATAAATATTTGGGCTGGGAGCGCCAGGGCTCAACGTAAGCTTATATAAGAATAGTACATTTGGAAGCAAATCAGGTAAATCACACTCTCTACATTAGCTGAATTTAGTTTACACATTCTAAGAGAGAGAGAGAGAGAGAGAGAGAGAGAGAGAGAGAGAGAGAGAGAGAGAGAGATAGATAAAGAGATAGAGAGAGAGAGAGAGATCGAATTGAATTTGAATAAATGACTCATAAAAAATTCTTTATTTTATCATTTTAATTTGCATTTACTTTAATGTCAATTGTCATACCAATACATGAGCAACTCTAATGGAAAAGAAGTGGAATCTTTAAAAAATATTTTACAACACTCTTTTATTGTTAATTCAATTCAAATTAGCATAATTGCTTTAAGAAGAAATATTAATTGAATTGTTCTGCTCTCGCTGTTCGGGTAATTTTATGACGTTGTTTCAGCGCATCGAATTGAACTTTTACTGCGATTTCGTTGTGCAGCAGACAAACATAAAAAAACACCATTCAAATTAATTTCGATTTCAGTGCTCATTGTCATTTTTTTTCGCTCACTGCGCAATTGGCCATAAATTATGCCAATTAAGGGCATAAATTAAAGCTGGCACAAAAGACAATGGAGCTGACTCTGTCTCTTACTCTCTCTCTCTCTCTCTCTCTCTCTCTCTCTCACTCTCTCTCTCTCTTTCTCTCTTTATCTTTAACAGCGAACAAACAATCAGAACCAATCAATGGCTGCTGATGGACGCGGGCGGAACAAAGCACACAATCAGCGAGACAAACAGCAGAGCAAAAAGGATTAAAGTAAAAGCCATTTACACATATCTCTATCTCTGTGTATGGGCCGATGGGTGTGGCGGGGCCAAGTGGCTAACAAAAGGGCAGCTGGCTGTAAATAAACATGCCAAATGAAGCATTAAAGCACTTGTCCTTGTTGTCTTTATGTGTGGCTGCCATTCACAGGCTCAGCTGCTCAGCTTTCATTTACACTCAACGCACACACACACACACACACACATATATAACGGCATACATATAAGCATTGCATACTTTTCAAAGCTCACATTTCTTAGCCCACATGAAAGCCGAGACGGCAACTGCGTTCAATTGAGCTGAAATGTGTGAAAAATAAATAAAAAAAACCTAGAGAAAAGAAAAAAAAGACATAGAAGAACGAATTGTGAATGCACTAGCAGAGGCATCTATCTAAATATATATTTGTATGCATCAAATTATTTATAGAGTATCATTGAGTAACCATAGAAGAAGGAAGAGCGAAGATGGTCTCGTTTTCAATGGATTCTTTCTGAAATTCTAATATCTATTTCATTCGCTTTATATTCAAAAACAAGTCTAATACCATGCCTTATATATATACAATCGAGTCTCGTTAAGGCGTACCCCGCCAAATAGAAAATCGAGAAAAACTCTATTCCCTTGAAACAAGTTCGTTCTCAATAAATCTCGATAATTTAAATTTCGATTTATCGAGATACTACAGTATTAATATGTATTATATATGTATATCTCCCAGCTATGTTTTCCATAAGCTTCCACATCACCAGATGTACCCATTGTAAGAGCATAGAAAAGGGATAACACGCAGACAGACAAGAGCATTAACAGAGAGTCAGAGATAGAGATAAATAGAGAGAGAGAGAGAGAGAGAGAGAGATGGAGACACACGAGGCGACCAGGCAGGCATTCATTGAACGTGTCGACGCTTCCGCACATCATCAAACAAAACAAGAGCAGAAAAAAAAAAAAAATAAAAAAGGCTTTCCTTTGCTTTGTTGTCGCTTATCCAACACTTTTTACATTTATTTACATGTTGATTGTGCCCATGTGTGTAGGTGTGCGTGTGTGTGTGTGTGAGTGTGTCTGTTGCAAATTGGCTGTCAGGATTCTTCCACTTGAATTGTCAGCTTCTCCTTCATTGGCACTCATTGGCCAACTGATTGCAACTGACAGTTTTCAAGGAGCCAAAAAAGGGTTGCCAAAATATACAAAAAAAAAATTGAAACTGTTTAAAATTCCTCGATTTAAGTTCTGTGTGCTTAGCAAATTGACCGTTGCGCAAATATTTAAATAGTTGTGCATATGTTGCTGGCAATGCGTTGAGCAAATAGCACAAATAGCACAGCTGGCCAGCGCCCTTGACCGGGGCGTGGCTGTGCCACGACCAGGGTTGGGTCAAGCAATCACATTCACAGCAATTAGATTGCCATATTTCATATTTTTATGTGTAGTTTTTTTTCGATTTTATTTCTATTTTATTTGTTGATTACATTTCGACGCACGAACACAAGTTCATATTGAATTTGTCGAACGGGACACGCCCACATGTTAGCTGTGTAGGTAAACGTTGGCTTATGTTGAATACCCGCCCGTGAAGCTGTCTAAAAGGTATATTGGCTGTATTTATTTGGAGTGAAAACATGAGAACTCGAGCAGGAGAGGGATTCGCAACGGAATAGATTAGAGAGAGAAACTGGTATTAGATGTACATCTACTGACTCTCAGGCTCTCCTTAGTTAAGGCATACTGCAACAGCGTTATATAGTCGTCACACAATAGAGTGCACGGAAAAATAATCCTTAAAAAATCTGTGTAGTTATATATTTCTATATGCATCGTCATATATATATAAGATTTTATTTATATACATATATTATTTATACTTTTTCACAGTTTTATTTTTACTTCACATCTCTGATTTTTGCCTGTTCTTGCTCAACATCCATATCTATGCTTATTCTATAAACATATCAATCAGGAATTCTATAGTCCACTCATAAACTACTCTGCAGCTTCTCTCAATGGCATCAACTGTGCTGTGCAAGCGCGCATCAGGTAGTCAGCTACACCCTCCACTCAGGTCTCTCAGCTCTATCTTCTTCATAATCCACCTCCTCTACTATTTTTTCTTGCCATTTTCTGCGCATTTAGTGGGCCAATTGCTATCAAAGCGGCTAATCAGCCTCGAATCGAATCAATCGACAATGATGAGACTCAGATTTTGCTCACAAATTGGACACATGCCCACATTTTTCTGGGCCAAGGACTCCTCGACTAATTAGCACCACTTGAGCGCACAAAACAATATAAGTAGATACCAAAAAAAAAAAAAAGGAAAAAAAATAGCAACCCCTATTATATGGAGCAATTGTGTATGGCTTACCTCAAGGCGCGACTCAGCTTGTCGTAGTTCATGTTGGGCTTCGATTTGCGTTCGCCCCAGCGGCGGGCCACTTCGTCGGGATCGGTCAGCTTGAACTCGCCGTTGGTGCCCTCCCAGGTGATGCAGCTGGCATTGTTGCTGTCCGACAGCAGCTCGAGCAGGAACTGCCATAATTGTATCTGACCCGAGCCTGCAACAGAAAATATATTTACATACTTATAAGGCATATATACATATTGGGTGTAATGGAAATATAAAGCTATTTAATGTCAGTATTTTGGCTGCCTAAATGTCCGTCAAAAGAGCATATCCTTTGGCCCCGCTGGCAGGCTGGCAGGCTGGCTGCCATGGAATTATGTAACATTGACTAACCCGAAAGCTAAGCATTTTGTGGCATGCAAAAGTGCCATAAAGTATTTCCGACACGCTGCTCAACTCCCGACAACCACTTGACCAACGCGCCGAGGGGCATCTGCACTCTGCAGCTCCACATTTATGTAATGCCACAGAGCAACAAAATTTTCTATTTTTGGATTTACGATCAAGTCAAGAAGGGCCGTAGGAAATGGCATGGCATGTAAGTGCAAACGTAAGACAGATAAAATATGTTCTAAATGATATTTGGCACTCGATTTGAATATGTAGATGAGCGGAAGAGGCTGCTGAAGTGGGAACATGTAAGTATCAGATATCAAAAATATATAGAGTGGATAATTATGCTAGTCAAAAAGAGAAATTCCTCGTACGTTTAACGTAAAGTTAATATATAGTTTAAGTTAGGTGAACTGCAAGATAAATGGCATATCTATTCCCTTCAATGTTTCATATAGCTAAGAGGTATTCCTATTGATATTTCACACAATCAAGCACTAGTTCATGACGTCATATTCAACTGGCTGTTAAATTTGATCAAAAAATATACCAAGAACGATTTCTGTTCAAGCTACTCAGCCATAGCCTCAGCACATCTTCAGTTGACCTTTGATATTTAAGCAGCTCAAATCAGAAATCAAATGTCGTCGCGGTCGTTACATAATCTCTCTCTCTCTCTCTCTCCTCCCCCGTCTCCCTCTCTCTGTCTCTTTCTATTTATATATTTATGAGCACACTTTGATTTTTCTTTTGTTGTGCGTGCTAAAACATTTACGAAATTATGATTTTCGTATTGTGCAAAGGATTCGACACGCATTCAACGCAGACATCATAAATCGCTTAATCATTTGGCAATTAGGCCCAGCCCCAGAACAAACTCCCGTTCTCTTTCTCACTCTCTCTGTTTCTCTCCCTCTTTGTCTCACTCTATCTTTCTTGCGTAAAAAAGGGACTCACACTCACATAAAGCCTGCTTGCCGGGGGTTGAAAAACCCTGACAGCCCTGGGAAGCTAAAGTTGAGTTAAATTTCGCCCTTCGGGAGGTGGCTGAGACACGAGCTCTGAGCTCTGAGCTGTGAGCTCTGAATTCAGTTTGTTCATGTGTGAGAAACGTCATGAATATTGCGTTAATTGCAAATCATGGTCAAGAGAATGTGTTAAGTGCCAGCACGACAATGGTCATGATGATGATGATGATGATGATGATGATGATGTTGCTGATGACATGAATGAGTGATAACTCAGCCAGCTGTGTAGGCGTGCCCAGCAATTGACATGCTATTAAAAGTCAAAGACAATGGGCCAAGGCATTACGCTTGACACACCTAAGGACGGACAGTGGATGTAAGGTTGGATTACAAGTAGACTAGTTTATTATAGACATTAATGTATGAATAAATTTCATTATATATAGTAGGTATACTATATCATAGTATATATATAAAATATTGATATATGTACGTCTTAACTCGAGCTCGTATATTACTTTCATTCTAAAACTTTTCTTTCTCTTCGCTCAAATTTTATTTATACATAATTTCACTTTATAAAATATTTTTATTTCAGTATATCTATAGCAAGTAAGGTGAAAAGTGGTACAATAATTTTGCCTTTTATGAAAGACTAATTTAAGTTCTCTTTACTTCTCTTCTATAACCTAAGACTAATTTAAAATTTCCTTTCTATTTTCATCCAAATTATGCATATATAAATTTATAATCTTCGGCTGATTCTTGGGCAATTTTTCCTCTTTTTAGTTGAAATTGAATGGCAAGAGACTCTGCAATATCTTGTCTGCGCTTCAATGAGATGTCTTTCAATTTTCTTGGCATATTTATCATCAAGTTAATCCTTTATCACTGCACAAGCTACTAGCAGGTATCTTCAAGTCGAACACGCCCTAATCTGGCCAATTTGAGGGCAATTTGGTCACAAAGGCGTTGACGCCGTCGCCTCTAAGAAATGTTAATTCGAATAGAAAAAGAAGAAGAAGAAGACGACGACGAAGTCGGAAAGGCAAAGTAATTAGCTGCAGGAGCAGTGAAAATGTTGCTTTGATATGCCGACAGAGGCTGTAGTTCCCCAACTGTATTTTTGCTTCTCTTTAGCTTTTTTTTCTCTTTTTTTAATTACAAACAAGTTTTTGTGCTGTGGCTGGCAATTATGTCACGACTAGAGCTAGTTTTAGGGCTTAGTGTTGTTTTTTTTCTCTCTTCTGTTTAGTATGTTTTGGTTGCATGCACAGGCTGCAGCTGTGTCTGCCATGCAAATGAGACGCGAAGCGGCAGGAGGAGGAGGGGGAGCGCAGCGCGAGCTCTGCAGCTGAGACCGGACTTGGCTAACAAAGCGGTTCCGTGTCCAAAGGAAGCCATAATTAATCAAAAACAGCATTTTTGCCACCCAAAAAGCGAAAGCGCACGGCCATGTGTGTGCGTGTGTGTATCTATGTGTGTGCTGGGGTCATGTGTATGTGTTTTTCTCAGTGAGCTTTTGCGATTAACTTGAAGTTGAAGTCAACTTGGCAACGGTCTAAGCCTAAACAAGAAATGCAGCACGCCGACTGAGCGAGAATGGGACAGCTAGAGACCGAGAGAGTGTGTGTGAGAGAGAGAGAGGACGATATACCAAGTGCAAAAGAGAGGCAGCTATAAATGGGGAGCAATGGCGTTCGGCGCGTGTAAATGTCGCGCCGGAAAATGTTGGGCGTCTGAGTTTTTATGCTAATTCCGTTCAAACGCCATGTTTGTGCGCCGCCTGGTTGCGGCGGGGGCGTGGTAAGGCGGCGTGAGGGCATATTGGGGGCGATTATTTAGAGGGGTGCCAAGCCACACACACACACAAACACACAGCGTAGCGGTCAGCAATGGCGGCAAAGCTCACACAGCCGCAGGATCAATAAAAATTATTGATTTTGTTTCAAACTTTCAGCTGCAGCTGGGCAAAAATTCAATTAAACTTTAAAAACTTCGAACTAAGACATAAAAGTGTGCAATAGCATAGTAAAACTATATAAAACTGTACTAAAGCGAAAGTTACGTTAGCTCTGGAGGCGGGCAGCCAAGCAAGTTAAATAATTGTTTAACTGACTGACTAGAAATAAATTATTAAGAATTTTAATTGAATTAAATTGAAAAATATACTGAGAATAGCTAACTTTCGCTTACTATAGAATAGAATTTGAAAAAAGTTAAGTGAAAGTCAAATAATTATTTACTGAAACAGTTACTCGTTAAATCTTTGGGTAATACCCTATTATACTCCTTTTTCCATGCGCCCAATTGAATATGCTAGATACTCTGTACTATATATCTTTCGCCTTCAGTCTTCTACGTGAGGATATATTTCATTCAAATCTATTTTAACATTTAGATGCTTTCTGCTAGAGTGCATATAGTATTTCACAATTTACTACGCCTCTAATAGAAAAATCTGATTAATTTATAAGCAGAAGCTATGAATGAATCTGTGTTTCACATTCCAAATCTCTATCTATAAAAGAGGTAAAATGCTTTACATTCATTCAGTAGACCCTAACATCTATCTAATACTACAGGCATAGCTTATGATACTCTGTCTAATACTCTAATACATAGCTTATGATGCTCTAACCCTACTTTATGCAGATAAATATATTCTAATTTAATATTTTTACTATATATCCATAAATTTATATATGATTTTATAAAGATTTCTTTTATCTAAATATATGTATATATAATATATATATAATATTTTAAGATATATGTATATAATCTATTCATGACTTTGGAGAACTTCTCTCCTCGTTGCATCACTCCACATTTTTATCTGATTTTTTTACGAGTTTTATTTAATCCATTAATCATAAGTGATAGATGCACACCTACTTTTTAACCCTTTGCTTGAGTCCCTTTTACAGCTAGAGGCTACTTTATATGTATGACTAGTTTTTGTAAAGTCAGCCGTTGGGCGCGTGCTGCAGACAAATGCAATGCAAGTCAAATAACGAAAAATAATTGCCTGGCCACGCCCACTGCAGCGCTTAGACACACGCATGCGAATAATAAATGTATTCCGAAAATGAAACAGTAAAAAATGCTGAAGTTTATAACACCTTTCGCATAAATTAGAAAGGCAAGTAAAAGCCCGCAGGGTTGAGCGCTTTTCGACTTTTTACTTTGCTTTGCATGCAACGGGTTAATTTGTTAGGGTGCGCCGAATCTCGGCCAGAAATTGATATGATAATGCAGACAGCGAGACAGTGGCAGACAGAGAAACAGAGGGTGGAGGAGGGAGAGAGACAGGCAGCAGGGGGGGGAGGGGGAGGCGGTGTTCCTTTAACGTTTTCTACGTTATTCAACTTAATCTAAGCACCTGTATCTTTATGCTTTTGTGATTATTCAAACTCACCTGAGCTGGCGAGTCGGCTGCTGGTGGGTCCGAACATTTGATATGGATCTGCAAAAGAGGGTGGCAAGACATTAGTTTTATACTTTACGCTTAAGTGTGCGTGTGAGTGTGTGTGTGTGTGTGTGTGTTTTATGCAAATGAAGTACCTCTAATGAAGGACCTGCCAAAACGGAATACATTATGCATAAAAATACAGAAGGCAAAAGAATTGTGTACGTGGGCAAGTTGCGTTTCCGCTGATGAAATGAAATGCATTACCAAAACTGCAAATATGTGTGTGTGTGTGTGTGTGTGTGTGTGCTTACATATACACAGATATATAATGTATATATGTGTATATATAGATGCCTGGCATATCCATTTCACTTATTATCCGGCGCGCGTTTCCTGGCTGCGAGCAAAGCGAGAGAGAAAAAAACGTTGCATACTTTCAAGCGCAGCCAAGAGAGCCAAAGGTTAGCGAACATCTTCGATGCAGCTACAGCATAGTCCCGCATAAATACATTTATACACACACGCACACTTACACACATAACTTGTATATGTTCATGTGCATTGTTTGCTAGCGTCTTTTGTTCTCTGTGCACAATTTAATGCGCATAAACAGGACCGTCGGCAGTAAGTCGCGCTGGCACGCGTCCTTTTCAGGCACGGCCGTCAAATTTGACAGCAGAGAGCAAAAAACATAATAATAATAAAAAAAAAAAAATGAACAGAAATAGAAACAGAAACCAGAAAACCAGAAGAGCAGAAAAGCAAGCCAAGTTCTCGGCAGCCTCGCTGGAGTGCGTCTGGGGCTGCGCTCTAATTGAGAATCCTTTATGGCATTTCAATTGTTTCCATTACGCTTCGGCTGCGACTGCAACTGCGACTGCGAATACTTTTGTTTCCATTTCCATTTCGAGTGGCGTATTTAAGGTTTTGATTTGCGACAGTATTTTCTGAGGGTCTTTTTTTCTCTTTCTCTTTTTTGGACTACACTTTAAAGCAGCAGCGCGCGCGCTCTGGCTGAGAGTAGGGGTAAGTGTAAAGGGACGCTGGAGTGGATGGCATTGAGTGGAGGTATTTGTTTCAATACATTCGGAAGAGAAGTATTGAAAATGAAAATAAAAAAAAACCAACCAACAACAACATCGAGTGCCCGAATTTCAAGTGGCATTGGCAGCGTGCGCACAATTTCAATTGCGAAACTTTATTAGTGTTGGTAAACAGCCAACAGGCACTGTTTATATTTGAATTTGGGCTAAACAATGCGGCACGTGAGCTCAAGCACCTACTCTTAATATGCCTTTAATGCCGCAGCGACTCAAACCTTGCCTTTGTTTTGCATAAAACTACACACACACACACACACACACATATACATATATACATATATGACATTTATTTGATTTACTCACCAGGTTGCCGTAGTTGTGAGTGCGGATCATGTTTAATGCTCAAGGCATTCGAGCTGTAGCCTGCAAATATTACAAATGAATTTGAATAATATTAGAGCTCTGAGTGATAAAGAGACCCATATACATTTACATATAAATAAAAAATGTTGAAAATGGAGTAAGAAATAAAGTTATAGCTGAATGAATTTTATAGAGGCAGATGTTATCTATGTATGACTTCTTAGATTACAAGCGATTCTGTGGTAAAGTCTTGGCGTATGTGTAAATGTTAGTATTTGCATTAGTATTGTAGCATGAGTCATATAATGATATATATTTATATCTGCAATATATATATGTATGTATAGACGTGATCAAGTTAACATTAATGCACTTCAAATATTATCAAATATTATTATATATTATAAATTATCATATATTATCAAATATTATGTTGCCTTACGCAGCAGCAGCTCATATAGCAAGCTAATGTACATATATGCCCTTTGCATATACATATATATATATACCTATACATACTGCGCTCTCTCGCTCTGCTGCCTTCAGCGGCAGAGATGTATAATAAGAAATATATGTACTTTAGCTTAAGAATTCATTTGATTTCCAATAGAGATTTATTAAACAAAAGCTACTCAAACCGAACACTTCAACGATTTTTTCTACAGTATTATCAGTTTTAGTATTAGTACACCTACATGTATAAAAATATATGTAGATATGTATAAAAATACCATATTAGTATAAGCATTGCTATTATTATTTGTCTTAGTGGTTGTAAATGTATAATAATATTAGTATTAGTATTGTCATCATTATTTGTATTAGTATCAGTATTGTGCTAGCATTCGAATATTTATATTGCTATCAATACTAACTCGCATTCACTGTAAACTCTCTGTTAAGCTATGCGATCATTCAGGCTAATCATGTCTGGCCGTGTGTCTGTCTGCCTTGTCTGTCTGTGCTGTAGTAAATCGCATTAGACTGCCCGAGGCTAGGCAGCGAGGCGTAAAGTCAACCAGTTGTCAGTTAATATTGTGATGCCCACAACACTTGTCATGTCGCACAATCAAAGGCATCAACTCAACCGCAGCACACAAACATTATCATAGTTCTGTCATCAAAGCAAATCACAGCCAAAGGCCAGAGAGGGGGGAAGCTGCGAGAGCGAGTGAGAGAGAGAGAGAGAGAGGGAGAGAGCGACTGTGATATGAGCAATGCGGCAGGCGTCGGGCTCTTTCATTTTAATGGAATATGATTGTATAGAAGGCAAAACAATGCCGCTGGCAATTCAATTTAAAATGCGATGAGATCTCGACCAGAGCAGCACACGGAGAGAGAGAGAGATGGAGAGAGGGAGAGGTGTGTCAAAAAGCGTTGAAAGTTGCGGCAAACTTCACGCTCCATACAAATTAAAGCCGCAGGCAAAGGACACAGGCGGGGGGGCAAAGGACTCTTGCTACGGGCATGGCTCAGTGGTTATGCACCGCCCGCTGTTGTTTTCGTTGTCACTCATTGTGCAAAAGAATATATAAAAAAGCAAAGCAAAGAGTGTGTGAGAGAGAGAGAGAGAGAGAAAGAGTGAGAGAGCGAGAGGGTGCAACTTTTCTGTATGACATTTTTGGGTTTACGCTTTTGCGTAGCCACTCAACTGCGAAGAGCACAAAAGATGCCCGATTACCTTTGAGTGTGGGAGGCGGCAGCGGTGGCTCAGTGGTTCGCTGGCTGGCTGGCTGGGTGGCTCTCTAGCTTAGCCTGGGCAACGCGCAGCCAAGCTGAAATTTTGTATTAAACACTTTTACAGTTTCACGCTAAGATTTTAGCTCGAGGCTTGGCAGATAGTCTCGCTTTATAATACATGTAATTTTAATTAAGTACAGAGACATCACCTCTAATGAGCAGACTCTGCTCACACACACACCCACACACTCGCCTTGTATTGCTGCCTCCCTCTCTGTCTATCTCTCCCTCTGCTTGCACGCTTCATTTAACAACCGCACAGCCCTTTGACTGCCCCGACTGACTTGCTGATAGACAAGAACACGTGTAGGCAACACCTTTTCAATTTGTTCCCACCTTTTTTTGTTGTATTCATATTTCCATTCAATAGACTGAATAGCATTTTGCACGGTTCACTGAGTTCCCTTCATGCGTGTATGTGTGTGTGTGTGCTGGCTGCTTTGCATGCTAATCAGCATCAGCGTGTAGCCATGTATTTATTTATTGGCTCTTCAAGTGCTCCTCGCTTGATTTGTGGCCAATAATCTGATGCCATTTTGACGGCTAACAAGTATCGAAGTTTTTAAGCAGATCTCTACTCCGTTGCAGCGCAAACTTTTGCAAGTAGCAAAGTTTACGAATGAAGGATATAGGAATACTCAAGGAATACTTAGAGCTAAGTAGACTAAGAATAGTCAATATTGCAAGTTTATAAAATATATAAATAAGACATCACGTAGTCTAGCTCTTATCGATGTATGTATCATTTCAATGAATAAAACTCAAAGTCTATCGAGAAGCATTACATATGGAATGGTGTGCTATGGAGTGATACACAATTTAAATCAAATGGAAATTTTTAGCTGATTAACTCATTATTATATTATATTATATTATATTATTCTTATCTTTCTGCTCAGTTTCAGCCTATTTAAATTCACTCAAACTGAAACATATTCCTTACATATGCCCAAAACTTTTCCCATTTTGGCTGGCTCGACGCTTTCCTAAGATTGTCGATAAAAAAAAAAGGCACAGAAGGTACAGCAAAAAATGAACATACTTAATTCTGGATGATGCCAAATTTTATAATTTAAATGCTATAATGTAAGTATAAATATAAATATAAATATAAATATTGTTAATAATTGTATATAGTGTAACTACTGGCTTCTAGCCCATAATTTAAGTTAAGGTTTAATGATGACTGCGCTATGGAGTCTAAGACAAGAAGCCGCAATAAATGAACTCGTAAAAAAAAACAAAAATAAATAAATAAATTATAAAAGTTTATGTTTTCTTATAAAGTGTAAAGTAGGTTGGAGAATTGATCAACTGAGGTGCCATTTAGTATTTTTAAGATCACAAAATTCCACATACTATTTGAACAGACGCCATGAAGATATCTTACATAAATTGGAATACTAATATGATCTAATAAGTGTAAGATAAAGAAATCATTGAATGGAAGCACAAAAACTTTCAAAATTCATTGCATACGCAAGAGTAAAGAGAAAACTGTTCAGACTCAGTCTTAAGACTTCTTTCATTCTTTAAGCTAAAAAAAAAACTCTAGCTTTGTTTTTAAATACTTTTGGATATACTTTGCTGGCTCACAGTTTCAGATTCGTTTTCTTGTTTCTACTCCTTAAAAAATAATTATCATTTTAGAAGAACATAATTTTTATAAAATAAACTCAAATTGTGTTAACCCATTACAGTTTTAGTTATTGATGATATTTTAGTATTTAATTATAATGTCTCATTTATATGATCGTGGCTCACCTTGTGATTGTGTGGAGCTGTGGGAGCCCCACGACGATTTGTACGAGGAATCTGCAACAGAAGAGAAATTGCTAGAGGTTAGAAAGAGGTAAGGGAAATGGGAAAAGCTATGGATATGATGAGAAAATACAACAAAATGCTAAACTCGTTAGATAACTATGTATGACTAGATATTTATTATTTATTTACTTGGATTCCATGTGGGATTGCCCATCACCGTTGGCCGGCTGGATTCACACATCGCCCACTCACCTGCGAAGAGCATTGAGAAGTTGCTGAAACTGCCTGTGGATCTCGACAAATAATCGGCGGATGATTTAATGTCCAGCATTGTGGAGGGCAGCGACGCCGATTGCCGGCGGTGCAGCTGCTCCTTGGCTTCTTCTTCCTCAACTAACACAAGTGAGTGCACAAATAAATAAACACACACACACTCGCACACACACGCACACGCACGCACACACTGGCCTGTCAAGTCAAGTGTTTGTTGTCCAATTGCCAATTTAATTTATTTAAAAAAAGTCAAAACGCGCGCGCGTTCCGGAAAACGGAACGGGAACGGGAACGGGAAAAGTGACGATCGGAACCGGTTACCGTTACCGGACACCTTCACTTCCGGGGCCGAAGCTAAACCCAAAATGCACTTTGGACACTGCTTGATATATATATATGTATGTATGTGTGTGTCAATCACGGTGTTTGTCTTCAGCTCTATATATACATACATATATGCACATATACGCTTATAGATATCGCGTATACGCTGCGTAAATCACGTTCAGATGTGTTTGACTGCTGAAAACTGTGCGTCCGATCTGTGGCACGGCAGCGTAACAATTGATTCCATTCCGTCGTCAAATCGCGCATATCCTGGCATATCCTGGCACTGCCAGCCAGCCAGCCAGGCAGCAGCGAGTCGAACAACCCCCTCGAACGAAAGGCGCAGGCTCGGCCAGTCGCATTGTGGGGGTGGTTGGGTGGTTGCCACTGCTGCAGCTTTTGTGTATCTATCTGTCTGGCCTGCTGCTGTGCGTGTGCGTGTGTGCGTGTATGTTGCTGGCTCTGTTTGACGCGAGCGTCGCTGCTGTTGTCCTTTATGCTCGCCAGGATATACTTAGGCTATAATCCACACCAAAAGGCAGCCACCCCTTTTCCGCTCGAGCACCAATCAGCGTTGAGACAAGGTGTGGCCTAGCTCTCACAAACACACACTCACTCACTCACTCTCTCTCTCTCACACACACACATATGCAGGCGCTTAAGTGAAAGCTTTTGCAAATGGTTTTCCATTTTAGGCAAACATTTGCACTTTTAAGTTATATTAGAAACTTCTACTATCGATCATCGTCTACCGTGCTGCCCCTCTCTCTCTCTCTCTCCCTCTCTTTCACTCTCGCTATCCCTCTCTCTATTTTGTAGGAGTTTACCGTTTCCACTTGAAATCAGCTACGCTGCAGTCAGCCCACGCGCGCTCTCTCTCACTCTGCCTCTCTCTCTCTCTCTCTTGCTCTCCCTGAGGCTCCACTATGCTAGTGCTGTCTCGCTCTCTGGCGCTGTCCCTCTGCTGCTGCTGCTGCGACGGCGTCGGCTCCACTGAGAAGTGGCGTTGCCTTTTTAGTGGGTGACACGAAGCAACAAGGACGGATGTATTATCCACTTCCTTTTTCCTTCCACCAAACACAAGGATATTACCGTTTCGTCGCTCGCCCACATTGCGACTACACCCACAAATCCAACTTGGAGAAATTCAAGTGGGCGTGGGTGTGCATGCCTCTAACTGTATATATATATATATGTGTGTGTGTGTGTGTGTGTGTGTGTGTGTGAGTGGGTGGCTCGCTGGGCTACACCTGAATACAATGCCAGCTGGCTCAGCTGGTGTGAGTGTTGGCCATTCAAGCTGCTTGCCAGTAGCTTGTGGCTCAAATCGACAATTGTGTTGTTGCGCCGCTGATTGCACAGTCTGCGCTGACAGCGACGCTCACTGCGCTGCTGGCAGCGACGTCAGCTGCGCTTCAGCTCAAGTGCAATTTTACTTGCTGCCTTTCACAGCTCCGCTTCCAGCTATGCAAAATAACTGATATAGACATACACACACACACACACACACACACACACACCAGCACAGACACACATGCATACGCACCCACACACCCACTGTCCTTTGCCTGGCTTAATTAATTTTGGAGTTCATTGAAATTGTTTTTATTTTCTTTTCTCATTCCCTTTCTCCTTCTCTTTTTCCACTCTGCTCTTTCAGTTGGCAAAACTCATTTCAGCTTTTTGCTAATCTAGCCGCTGGCCTCGCCTCGCCTCGCCTGCTGCTAGGTGGGTGGCTAATTCGCAGGCGTTAACATACAAATTGCAGCTGCTCACACACACACACACGCACACACTTACACTTGCATACGAACAGCGAAAGCTTTTGATAGTTTTTTATTTTTTTTTGTGTGCTGTTAAAAACAAATTTCGCTTTTTCGCAAAAAGTTGGCAACTCAAGGCAATGTGTGTGCCAGCCGAGTGTGTGTGTGTGTGTGTGTGTATATGTGTGCGCGTGTGTGTGCTGCCTTGCTTTGACAAGCAGTTATTTAATAAAAGTTATCTGGAGAACGGCTTCAACTTTTGGCTTGATGGCAGCCATTTAACATCTGAGCTGCACTTGAGACAAGCGAGAGGCGCTCAAGCAGTTTAGAAAAAAAAAACTAGAGACAAGAGAAATTATAGAAATAACAATAAAAAAAATAATAATAAAAATATTGTTGAATAAATAATAATTGATAAATGAACAAAAGAATTCAAATTAATGTTATTTTGGCCAAAGCTAAATTCTTCTATAGTTAAATTTATTATTATTATTAATATTATTATTGTGAGAAAGTAAAATATATCTTTTATTAATTATTGATTTATTAATATAAATATATTAAAAATTTATAAGATTTTTTTTTATATATTAAATTAAAAATTGAAAAAGTATAGTTCAGTCAGCCAAACCAAAAATCAAATTTTATATTAGAATTATTTATAGATGATAAAAATATAAATAACTAAAATTATCTATTATTAAATAATTATAATTTACAATAATTTTATTACTAAAATTAAAATTGTAATAATTGTAATTGTAATAAAATTATAAAAATTTTAAAATAATTTAAATTATTGATTAATAATATAATAATTATTTGCAGAGTATTTATGTTAAGTAAAAGACGTTTGTATTTATAGAGACAGATATAGAGACTAACAAGCAGACAGACTTACTGTCTGGCAGGCATAGCGTAAGACTAATATATTCCTATATATTCCTCACTGCCTGAAAGAGTAAAAGACTTCTGCAGCTCTTCCTTGAAACTCCACAAAATGGCCCATCTAGGCTTCTTGGACTGTGTATATACTAACTATAAATCATACTTCTCAAGCTACCCTCGTAACTAAATACGTTTGTCTACAAGTGCGTGTGTGTGTGTGTGTGTGTGTGTATGTGCGAACTCTTGCTAATGGAATCTAAAATGGCTAAATAGCAATTTGCTGTTCTTGGCAAAGGCAAAGGCAAAGGCAAAGGCGTAGCCGGGTGCCGTCTGAAGTAGACCAAATCCAGTTAACTTGGCTAAAATGTTTGCGCCAACTGTATGTGCGTGTGAATGGCTGACTGTGTGGGTGTGTGTGTGTGTTGGCTGTGCGAAATTTAGTTGGTATTTTAATTGCATTCATTATGTAATTTCATTTTCACGCTCTGTGGCGAAAACTTTAAATTAATTTCTTTTGTGGCGCTGTTTCCGCCATTTTGCATGCAAAGGCAAAGCTCGTGCCGTGCCGCGGCGCTCCTCCTCCCCCGTGACGTCGCGGTTGCTAAGTCGCCAAAAGTGCCACGCCTACACGGGTGCGGACTGAGGCGCTCTAATGCGTCATCTTAAGGCCAACCACCAGCGGCAAAGCCACGTCGAATGCATCGAAGGTTCGTGTTCCATTTGTTTGTGTGCAGCCAGAAGAAGTCAGCGGAGCGTCAAGACAAACATGACGTGAAAATTGCGGGGGAGAGGACAGGGCAGAGCGGGGCAACGGCAGGCTAAGGTTGCTTGACAGTCAGCATATTGTCTGACTGGGGCAACCACCAACATTTGCAGTTAATAAGAAACGCAATCAACGCTGCGATTTGTTTTCTCAAGCTCAATAAAGTAACAGAGCGACAGAGTGAGAGTGAAAGAGAGAGAGATAAAGAGAGCGAGAGAGACGTGTGGGAGGGAGGCAGAGTGAGATTGTAGCTAATATTACGCGCCTGTGTCTATGCAACAAAAACAAACTGCCTACAATAACAACAGCTAGGCGCTGCGCACGTGGCCTGTAATGACGTATGAATGATATAACACGCGACGGCACGTGGCCAACTGGACGACTGCCTGCCTCACTGACTGACTGACTGGCTGACTGAAGGCCCTGCCTTTCCCTGCCCAGCCAAGTCGAGCCAAGCCCAGCCCAGCGGGCATGACAGAACGCGCTCTGCAGCTGGCCAGGACCATGGGAGTGATTGCTCCTTTCTTAGGCCAACGTCGCAGCGACGCATCGATTGCTCATTTGGCCTGCAGCGTGATTTTTTTTTCACGCTGGTCGAAAATTGCGTATTATATAGGTAGTATAAGGGGATGTGTGTATGAAATATATGAATAATATGACTTGTTATTATAATAATATATGCGCAGCTATATGGGAATTACACTACTCTACTGACTCTGACTCTGACTCTGACTCTGACTCTGACTCTGACTCTGACTCTGACTCT